CTGAACAAAGACGTGGAGCTGAAGCCATTAAAGGCGTCCGAAAATATGAGAGAAGAGTCAAGGAGCTCACCTACCAGGTAACATACTGATATACTGGATCTTCTTTAACATAAAGGTACATATCAGTACAGTAAGTCACTTTTGAAAATTATGATGTTTTCTTCTCTACAGTCTGAAGAGGACAAGAAGAATGTGAACCGACTCCAGGATCTGGTCGACAAGCTGCAATTGAAAGTAAAGGCTTACAAGAGACAGGCTGAGGAAGCTGTAAGCCATGGTTTTTACAATCTTTGATAACTTACTTTCCTACATCACTGATTACAACATTATATTTCAAATACATCTTTTTCAATTTCAGGAGGAACAGGCCAACTCCCATCTCTCCAAGTTCAGGAAGGTGCAGCATGAGCTGGAAGAAGCTGAGGAACGTGCTGATATTGCTGAGGGCCAGGTTAACAAGCTGAGAGCCAGGAGCCGTGACATGGGCTCCAAGGTAAATTGAAATTCTTGGTGTATCTGAAAGATCTGTAATTAAGAGTTGATTTAGGGTATGTCTGAATTTCATAGAACTTAAAGTTTTACATTAAAAGGTATTTATTGCTTGAGAGCCTGAATGCTTAAAAAGAAAACAAAGGATGTTTGTATCTTCTGAAGTCTTGATAGAGGGATGAATGACTTCAAAATCATATATATTATTTTGAAGTATACAGTTTAGGTGTACTTTCCAGTATTTAGTGTGCATTTTGTGAAAATTCTAGAATGAGTGTAATATAGTGTGAACTCTATAAAAAGGGTGTTTTTTCTATAGAATTGTGAAAAATCAGCAGCTCAGCAAACATTATACTGTACAGCCTCATTGACATTTGTTTCCCTGCCACACGTAGAGTTGTTTCCTACACTGAAGACACTATTCTTCTTTTAACAACTGTGAAACACAAACCTTAAAACACTATCATCAGTTTTCATCCCTAATTCATTTTTTCCTCTAAAACCATCCACTCTTGTAGCAGCAAAGAAGAGCTTAAAGGTGAAACATTTATTGTTAAACAAGTATTAGCATTTCATTCTGTTTACTTTCAACAGGGTAAAGAAGCAGCTGAATGAAGATGAAAGAACTCCTCTGATTCAGAAATTCATAAAATATGAATTTATATGTGTACTGTAATACTGTATCTACTGTGTTAAACACATCTTTGAAATAAAATAGCTCAGCTGTATCTCTACCAAACCTTACGGCTGTTGTGTTATTAACTTAAAAGAGAATTTCCACTATGTCTACTGTGATGAATGTCACTGGACTCAATGCTTTTAGTGTTCAGTTCTGCATTTCTATGACAATTAAGTCAAATCATAAGTGATATAGAAGCTGAACGTGAAGCAAACTTCACACAGTGATTGTTACAAGATTGAGATTCTGATTTTAACCGGCTGCTTTCATACAGTAGAATAGGAAAGAGGTCTTTCTCAGTACCAACTGTTATGAAATAAAGCCTTGCAGTCTAGGGTTCCTGGTCCTGCTCAATCTGTTCACTGTGCTTTTTTCAGTCTTTGCATATAAAGATTAGTAATCTTGGTTCTAGATAGTTGTTTGTAATGCCACAAATTCTAAACTGTTTCAGCAATGAATCCCCTATCTGATGGTGCGTCCAAGTACTCTTCTAGGGTTTTGTGTGCTAACAGAAATAGCAAACCTGAAGATGGAAAGGGGGGGGAGAGAGAAGAGAGAGAATATTCCTGTAAGGAATTCCCAATGAAGAGATACTGTATGTGGATCCTGTGCAGACGCAGGTGTAGGTAGGTGTCGAGGCAGGCAAACAATCCAGAACATCAGGCGAGACCATGGTCAAAAGGGAGGAAGGTGGTTCGAAATCCAGGAAGTACAAAGAGAGGCAAACAACCCGAATCGAAAGGCAAGGTCCAAGATCGAGAGGCAAAAGGGGAGTCCTGTATCCAGGAAAAAAAAATGCGAAGTACAGCATAAACGCCAGATAAAGCTCTCAAAGTGTAGACTCAATTCCAAGCAGCAAGAAGCGGGTTTGAATGGCTTAAGTACTGCTGCCTGCCGCACGGTAGGGCGTCTGGTGCCAAGTTAACACGTGCGGCGGCGCTTGTAATTACCGCCCCGCTGCTGGGCTGGTCTGGGGAGGTTAGCGGTCGTGACAATTCCTTGATGTACTGCTGCAGCGACACAGTCTTTTTCCAGAACTCTTTTTTCAGCCCACTCTGAGCCCACCTCACACCTACTCCCATCATCCAATCTGCATGGTTACTAGTAATAAAACGCACTCATGAAAATACAATTCAAATAAACTAAAGTGAACTAAAAATCCATAACTAAAATAATAATAATGCATAATATACTGTACAGTAAATTGTAATCTGATGCATACCAAGAAACAAAATTTGATTCAAAAATTTTTGTAACACTAGAGTCTCACGAGGTTGGTACAGTATTATTCTAATTATCAGTGCAAAAAATGCAGTATACACCTGAAGTCTTTTATCAATGCCTATCTACAGTAAATACTATGGCAGGGTAAAGATTTGCTCAATCAGAGGAATTAAGCCCAACTCAGCACACTGACCAAGCAAATGGGGATAGCTTGGAACCCTTATACTATATTACTAGTGGAATAGTCTATCAAGTAATCCACCACCATTTTCATTTTAATTCCCCCCCCCAAATTCAGCCTTAACTTGCTGAAACAAGCGGAATGTGAAAGATGCCCAACTCAGGAAGACCTGTAAGTGCTGAAAAAAAGCAATGAATTCTAACAACTGTGCCTGTAAGATAATGACACCTTTAAATACTCAGGTCCCACATTCCAGAAAATTACAATTATATTATTAGTGAAACATTTACACCGGGTGAACTTACAAAGTCTATCCTGGTCCTAGAAGAGTCCAAGGAGCCCCCTGCTGGCAGATTCAGTAACAGTGTGCACTTGAGTCCACTTCCACAGGAGTGATCCACCACTTAGACCTTTATATTAAACAAATAAGGGACAAATTCATACTCTGTGGACAAATTCATTGTACTTTTAGATTGGCATGAAAAAAACAAAACACATGTAACCAAAACATTTTGCCACTTGCAAACATAACTTAGCTATGAACAGGGATAAACTAGATAAGGATGTGACATCAAACAGAAGGACCAAATAAGTGACTAAGTTAATCCTGTCAATATGTGATTATCAAATAAATTTGTACTTTGCAGTTCATTTGAAATGAACCAAGTTAGGCTTTGTTTAACCAAGCCATTTCACTGCAAATTAATTAAATGGTACTCTCCCATTTTAACTGTGAATAATATTGTGCATCTTTTTAGCACCATTTTACATCTTTGGCCATACAGTAAAATTACACTTTGAAGTGTTTTTAAATCCTTACCTAACAAGATGTAAATGCACCAGAAAATGCCAAGAGAGTGGTACCAGATGTCATATCACCTGGAAAAAAAAAGACGAGTTAATACACTTGTAGGGCTCCAAAGAATGTCCTATAACAGTGAAATACAGTAAAATAATCCATTTCATTTACTGCTTTCCTGCTTTTACAATAAAGTGTGCTTAATAAAGTGCTTAATATGAAGAAGATAGTATTAAGAATTCTTATGAAACACTTCAGTGCTAATGCAAAAAAAAATGAAGTACAGACTCTCAGAAAGGTTGGTAAGAGTCCCTGTTACAGCTTTTATAGAGGACTATGGACACATCCTTGGTCATCCTGGCAGGATTATCTACTATTTTTGGAATCTTTGATTGCAATAGTAGATATTACACAGTATCAAGTAACATTTACTTTCTAACATAGCAAATGATTTACACACATTGGGAAATTATATTGTCAGATGTCCAGAATCAGATACATTAACACATGTGAATGGCATACTTATTTTTTGCTTCCCATAAGAAGTTCCAAGTTCCAAACCATAAAAAACACTTCTGTAAAAGGTATCTACAGTACGACATGCACTTGATCCTGGCAAACTGTTGATGCTGCATAGTTGAACCATAGCCCTCGATATAAAAATGATTTGTTGACTATGTGTTAACTGAAACACATTACACAGCTATGAAAGGTATGGTAGCAAAGTAATTTTACTCCAATTCCAAAGGCAATACTCAGAATCCAAATGCTGGGGCTTAAAGAAATACTGTTCCAATTATTTTTAAGAGGAAACACTTACTTTAAACTGGAATATTCAATTTTCCTACATTAAAACTGATGAACTGTAAAAATAAAGTCCAAAAGGCAGCTCATATTTGTTTGAAGACTTCATAATTGTACATGAAGTCTTGCTATTAGGCTTTAACAATTTACAACTATAAACAGTAAATGTTAAGGTATTGTTACTTTTAAGTGGATTGTTAATCATTTAAACCTTGTTTCCAGCACACAGCTTTCTTTTTCACTTTTGTACACTGAGGTTCAAAACTCTATTTTCAGCTGCAACTAAAATAAAAAAAAACATATTTTTCCTTTTGAATGAACTATTTTAAACCTGCGATTTCAAAACTCTCAGTCTTGTCAAATTCATCCTATATACATCTTTGTTACTGATTAATTGCTTTTGGACACACACAGAACCACATTCCACAGTGAAGAAGTTAATATTGCTCAATCAAAAATGGGCAAGAATGCAAAACAGCTAAGGTTTCCTAGAAGCAAACTGCATTATTATTACCATCAGTAAGTTACTAAGTTACATTAAGTTACTATTTAATAGCCTTCAGAAAGTGTCTTGCAGTCTGATAAATGGTTTGAAAGAAAATTTTAGAGATTATATTTTAGCATGTTTTGGACAAAAATGAAATTATTTGAAATTATTATTTTGAGGAAGACATAGCATTATGTTTCTGAAATGAGTATAAACTCTGTGTAACCATCAAAATATCCTCTTAAGTCAAAAATGAAAAGAAACTAAATTCTACATATGTACTGTAGTAATGGTAGATGGTGTTGGCAGTGTTCTAAGATAAGATATTGGTTCCCAGTTACTGGCTCTCAAGTGCACTGTCTCTTCGCCAAAAGGCCTGTACCACCTGGCAAGGTGACAACACATTCCTTTCTATTAGTGCACGCAGGATTCCAGCAGCTGGTGATCTCACACCAATACTCAGCCTCCAATTCTCCTATGATCAGCTACTGTACATACAGTATACAGGATGTGTCCACACAGGTCTATGCATTATAATACACGTACTGCACACCCAGAAAAAATTAGACAACACCCTTAATACTTTATATATAATATAATTAAGGATCGAGGATCATTGATTTCATTACATAGACTTCCAATGGTGACTCCTGCTGAAACACGTCACACTACTGATTCTCCTAGATGTTCAGAAATATACAGGACAATTCAGTCAACAACAGTTATTAAATATGAGATTTTGGTAGTGTAGAACAGCATCTGACATTACTGAAGCCAGAACTTCCAAGAAGTGCTTGATGGGTTGGATATCTTCAGTATCGGTTAACAGATATCAAACCCAAAAGCATCTGAATCCGAAAAGCAGGCGTTTCAAATCCTGGTCCCAGAGGACCACACCCACCTGCTGATGTTTATTCCAGATGAGTTTAATTGCTTAATTGAAAACTCAGGTTTTCAATATTCTAAACTAACAATTTAAAATATTCACAGGTTTTTTTCAGGTCAAATTTTAACTTTTCTGTTGAAATGCAATACTTAAAAACTATTAACAAGTCAAATAAGGGTTCAATGGGGTATCTGAGTGCTCAGCTGGATCAAGAAACAGCAGTTGTATGGGTTACTAGGAAAAAGGATCCTCTATCCTAAAGCACTGATTATCACAGAATGATCTTATACCATCAGAAAATACACTGACCATGACATTATCACATCAGTCCTCTAAAGAATATCCTGGATAGTTCATCAGCACATCACAGGCTTCCAGGATTCAATACTCAGTAAAACAAGCAGGATCTGATCCAGGGTCATTACACCTTGATTGTGATTGGCATTGCTCAAGTGACACAATTGGCTGAGTGCCACTGAGGATAAGGTACAGTACAATTAGCTGTTATGGATTCTCTTAGTTTAAGCAATACAGTGTTTCCTGCAACGTCCATGCCACTTACATGTGCAATGCAATCAGTGAGGGATGCAGCTCACTTCCAACTAATTCTCCCTGAGACAAGAAGTGACAAACATGCATTTGGCTATCCCTAAAATTGAATATAAAAATAATTCTAAATTTAAAAAGATACATTTAGAATGCCACATTTTTATGAACCAAAACATCTAGACAAATCGTTTTATTTAATGTATTTAGAGATCATCATTAGTTAATCACACAGCAGCTACAGAATTCCCTATATTTACAGACACCAGTGAGATGATGAATTGTCTATTACTGTCCTTTTGCATTATACTGCTGCAAAATTCACTGGAACTAAATCTGTGTTTTATTTTGTTTATATGTGTTTAAATATCAAATGACGTTTTAACTTT